GGAGCCCTCATGGCTCCCCAGGCCCTGCTGCTGTCCCGGGCGGGTGCGGGCCTGACGTTCCCCCACCACAGACAGGAAACGGAGCTCAGGATGGTGACAACCTGCTCAGGCTACCACCTGCTCTCTGGGTGGAGCCAAGTGGGGGCTCAGGGGGACCAAGGGGGTCTGGGCATTACTGCTCCTTAGGAGTTGTTCCATAATAAAATGCCAGGTGGCAAACACAACTAAAGTATTTCTTACTTTGAATGGCGAGACCTGGGCTGTTTAGAATAGACTTCTTTCTACTTTTCTGTAAGCGGCCAGGGGCTTGGGGGTGGTTGCTAGTGGGGGGAGCGACCTGTTTAGAATAGACTTCTTTCTACTTTTCTGTACTTAATTTTTTTTTTCAGGATACAGACCAAGACCCCTAGGTGTGGCTGCGGCGCTCACACTCTGGCTGTAAGCGGCCAGGGGCTTGGGGGTGGCTGCTAGTGGGGGGAGCGAGTCCCCCGTGGTTCGTGCCCCAGCCCCAGCCCCCGGTGAAGGGTGAGGAAACAGCCAGGGGGGTGGGGGGCACCGCTCACCATCCATGTCCAGCCGCTGGATGATGACTTCCAGCTCGACCTCATTGGGCATGTAGCCCAGCGAGCGCATGGCCGTGCCCAGCTCCTGCTTGGAGATGAAGCCATTGCCGTCGCGGTCAAAGACTTTGAAGGCCTCTCGGATCTCTGTGGGGGGAGCAGAGCAGGTGGGGACTTCACTCCTGTTCCCCACCCCTGCTTCCCAGGCCTCGAGGACCCCCACGCCTGCAGCCTGAGCCCAGCAGTGCGTCCACCGAGCCTGCAGGTCTGGGCAGAGGCGACTGGCAGGTGGCCCAGGCGTCCGCATAGCGCTGCTGCTGGAGCTCAGGGCAGAGCGAGGCCCCGGCAGCCGCGGCCGTCCCCAGGGTCTCCGTGTCAGTGCGCCAGGCCCCCACAGCCCCTCCAGGCGTCCTCACAGCGACCCCCTGTGGCAGGAACCATGGGTCCCACTGTGCAAGGAGGAAGCCAGCACCCCACACTCTCCATCCCCACGCTCCCTGTCCCCATTCCGCACGTCCTCCCCTAGCTCAGCGGCTCCGTTCAGCTCAGCCCGTTAGTTAACACGCTAATGGCAGCCACGTGAGGCAGCCTTGCGGGGCTGACAGCTCGGCGCAGCCTGCCTGGGGAGCCCAAGGTTTGGGGGAAAGGGAGGCAGATGGAAGGGCCCCAGCAGGCGCAGGCCAGCTCAGATGTGGGGGTCGCTCCCCTCACTCCATTATACAGAGAGGGAGACCAGCCTGAGGGCCTGGGTGACTCAGGGTGGGGGGCAATGCAGAGGGCTGGGAGCCTGGGAATGCGCACCCCAATGAGTGACCTTGGGTGGGCCTCAGGCTTACCCACAGTGAAATGGGCGCAAAGGATGTTGGGACAAGGGTTTTCCCGAGGGCCTCCAGGAACTGCGGAGGGTCCTAACCTTTCCCAACGCCATCTGTTTCCCTGTCCCTTCCCTGGTCCTCAGCCCAGGGAGGGCCGTAAGAAGTGTTTTCCTCTGGGAGAGAGCGGATCGCAATTCACTCACAGCCTCTGCTCCAACCCCCCGTTCTCCCTACTCAGTCCACCTGCCAGCCTCCTGGCCCGGACGTCAGCAGAGAGCGCGCTCAGGTGTGCACCTGTGTGTGGTGTGTCCATACGTACATATGTGGAGTGCAGACTGATGTCTTTATGCTGCAGTCCTGGAAAACGAGGCCCAGAGAGACTAGGTGGACAGGCTAGGGTCGGTGTGAGGTCCTCGGGGCTATTCCTGGTGAGGGCAGAGTTAGCTGGCCTGAGGGGTCTGTGAACCCTAAAAACTTGACTGTGGGATCCTACACTTGGGGGTCCTTCCTGATCCTGCTGATCCCACGACAGCCCAGAGAGGGTAGCCGTGTGTCCCAGGCTACACAGCAAGGCAGCTTGGACCGAGGCCCCAAACTTCATCAGGTTCTTCCCTGGACTCTGGGAACTGCAGCCAACTCCCACCTGGAGGTTTCCTGAGCCACTGAGGGGTGGTGAGCTCCCCATCCCCAGGGGTATGTGAGCAGAGGCCTGGCGGTACGGAGACTGCGGAGGGACTTCAGTCGCCTGGGAGTCTCTGCTGGAAGATGAGGGTACTGGCCATGTAACCAGGCTACCCAGGGCTGCTTCTATTGGAGGCCCCTACCCCCTTATGGAAGTCCCCAGGCTGGATGGGAGACAGGGGAGGTCAGGGGAATTGTGGGATATGGGGCAGGCAACAGACCTGGCGGTAGCCAAAGGGGCCCCACAGCCATTTCTCGGGCAGGACTGGCCTCCTAAGATCACCAGATACATCCAAAGACCGCCACTTCCACGCCCATGTGTCCCTTCTGCCCTGGCACCCCCAGCTCACACCTGAGGGTTGCCTCTGTACCTTTGTCCATGCCCAGAGCCCTGCCCCAGCCCCAGGTGACTGCTGAGGCCAAGTTCAGGGACCACCTTCTCAGCCAGAGTTAGCTCTAAGTCACACAGACACAGGTTCAAATCCCAGTTCTCCTGCCTCCTGGCTGGGTGACCTGGGCCGGTGTTTGCTCACCTGTCCAGCGGGACGGTGGGGGTGACTACATAGGAAAATGGAGGGTGTAAGTGCTTGACCGGGCCGGCCGGGCTTGGCTCAGCACAGGGCACTGCAAACGAGAACGTCACAGACAGCAGAGCTGGGAGGAGGGGGAGGACTGGGTGAGCTCTGGACACCAAGGTGGGCTTCCTGTTGGCTGGTGCCGGGCCCTGGGGCCCCGGCCTTGAAGTCCAGCTCTGCCGCTCAGCAGCTGAACGACCAGCTGGAATGCAAGGCAGCTCCCTCTCTGAGCCTCCAGTGCTGCACCTGTGCAATGGGAACGTGGCTCCTGCCCATCGCTGCGGCCTGGGCCTGCCGGGGGCTCTCTGAATGGGGTGGGTGTCATCACGTCCCCGTCGCTGCCGCCACCGTCAGCACAGCCCAGCCGGTGATTCCCCGAAAGCCTCGCTCTGACCCTGCGCTCTGTTCCGGCCCACGAGGCCAGAGGAAGCCCGCTGGGCTCGATCTTGGCATGAGGACGCCTGGCCCGGGAAAGGGCTGGCAGGGCCTCCGGGTTTCCAGGCCCACACTGTCCCCCACCTAATGCCTCCAGGCTGGCAGCCCCAACCCCCTCCCACGGCCCATGCAGCTGTCAGGGCCCGGGTCCCTCACAGGCTCCAGGGGATGCCAGCACTCCGTCCAGGAGTTGGGGTCCAGCGAGGGGGGGTGCTGGAGGCCGCTGCAGGGGCGGGGCAGCGTCGTCCTCGGCGGCTCTCTGAGACATTGGCCCTGTGCCCCATCACCCTGGCCTCTGTGAGCTTCTGGCCCGCTCAGAGGCAGCCACTGGGCTTGCAGGAAAGGAGCAGGATGGCACTGCCCTACCCGCGTTCTCCCCATGTCCCCCTGTGGCCCCTCTCCATGAAGGCTCCATGGTCCCGCTGAGCAGGCCAAGGACCCGGCGCAGAGCCTGCCCTGGCGGCTGCCTGTCTGTCTCCTTCCTCCTCCACCAGCCAGAGGACAGGACTGCAGCTTGAGCGGCCCCATTCCCACCCTCAGGTGCTCAAGGCTGTGGATGCCGCTGGGGCAGGCTCAGGGCTCCTCCAGGCCTCGGGGCCTCTGCTGTGTGTGTCTGTCGGGGAGGAGGTACAGGGAGAACCTGGGAGAGTCTCTCACGGGGGGAAAGGGGGCTGATGGGGGCAGGAGGTCCCAGGCTGGCTCTGCCGGGCCATGTCTATGTGCCAACTGCCACCCATCGCATGGCCCCTTCCACCAAGCCCTCCCTACCCTGCACACCCTGCATCCCTGCCTCTTGAGCCTTCACCGATCCCTCTACACTCCAGCCTCTTACCCCTGCAGGCCCGCTCCTTGGCCTTCCCTACTGCGGCGTCTGTCCCGCCCCCACGGCTCATCAGGGCCCGCACTGGGCACTTCCATCACCTCCTCTGTCACCAGCAGCCCTGGGGAGGGGCAATGCCAAACCCCTTTTACAGATGGAGAAACCGAGGCAAGAGTGGCAAGTGATTGCCGAGGTCACTCCATGAGACAAGGATGCAGAGACTCAAACCCAGCGCTGCCTGGCTGGAAGCTCTCATCTTAACCCCCGGCTCTCCCCCTCCCTCCCTGGCCCTCCTCCCCCTCGGACGAACCGCCCCCTGGATCTCTGCGCCAGGCACGTACTGTCTGCAGCACTGCGTCCCAAGCTGCCAGGCTCCTCTTCTCGGCACATGTGGCTCCCCCACTGTGGGCATCCTCCCAGGAAAGGGCCGGGGTGTTACCCAGACTGCCCCGGGGAGCAGACGCACTGATGGGGCACTGGGGAGGTGGAGGGGGTGGAGGGGGCGGAGGGGGGAATCTGTGCAAGGAATGGTCGCCCTGGCCACACAGCCTTGCCCTGGCATTCAAGGATCACTGGGGCCTGCAGAGACTTGGTCTCCTGGAAGGCGGACTCTCGGGGTGCCTGCAGCCAAGAAAGGGGTCAGGCATGGAGGACTCCTTGCCCTCAGCTGTCACTGCTGTGGGCCGGGAGATGGGCTGGGGCCACCCTGGCATCTGCCTGCTCCAAGACCCCCGCCTGCCCACACCAGAGAGGGCCCTGCCCTTCAGATGCCCCCTGTGCCAGGCCCCTCTGCTCCTCGGGGCCCAGGAGAAGAGGATGGGAGAGAAGCAGGGAGGGCGTTTGGTGTGGCTGGTGACTAATGCTCCTGGGCTCCTGCCAGTGTGCCTGCCGGGCAGCCCAAGGGAGGCTGCGGCCCGGCCTCCTTGCCCCCCACGCTGCCAGCCCTGCGCCCCGCTCACCTCTGCACCCTAGGCTCCTCTCAGCTTCTCCCCTTCCTTGGGGTCTACATTTCAGGGCTGGGAGGTGGCAAGAATCTGGACCTCGTGAGGCCCAAAGCAGGGCTGCATGGTGGGGTGGAGGGAGCAAGGGGAGAGAAGGAGGTGGGAGCTGGCTGGCCTGGGGTGTGAGGGACGGGGTTAAGCCCTGCCTCGGTGGCCAGCAGGAAGGAAGGGGTGTGAGCCTATAGAAGGGGGCACTGGCAGGAGGAGGCATTAGGGAAGAGGCAGCGTATGCCCCATCCCCTGCCCTCTCGCCCCTCATCATACCCCACTCCTTGTTCCAGGCCCCGGATGACAGGGCAGGGATGTGGGTTTGGGGTTCAAGGCCAGAGACGCAGCAGCAGCACCCATCCATCTGTCCTGCCCGCATCAGACACCAGACCCCTTTTCCAAGGCTCTCCTGGCCTCGGGGAGCTTTGGGGGGACTCGGTGAGGAGCAGGTGGCTCAGAGCCTGTGGTGCAGTTGTGGGAGGGGGGCTGCTTGCTCCCACTTGATCTTCCCCTTAAGCCAGTCTGACCCCCCCCCAACACCTGCCCCCTCCAGATCATGGGGATAAGGGGGACCTCTCTCCATGCCTTCCCCTGTGCTCCCCCCAACATCCCTGAC